CTGCGTCAAAACAGTCTGCCAGGAAAAGATCTGATCTCCAGTAAGTCATGGATAACCTTCCCTAGAGTATTTCTTATCCAGCTGAGTATAGAGCCTTCACCCTGTGATTCTCGAGGCTGGCTGCATCAGAATTATCTGTGGAGTTTTTTAAACTATACCTGAGTGTACAGAATGAAACCCTGGGGGAGAGGGGTGGGGCTGTTCCCCAACTCGTTTTTAAAAGCTCTGTAGGGTGAATCTGATGGCGCAGGCAGGAATGGCAGTGACTGCCGTACTCAGTCATTAGCACAGCTGTGGGACAGGCACTTAGGAAAGGTCAAAGGAACTTTCTGGTGTCCCTATTTATGCTGCTAGCCTGGCAGCTACCTACCATAAAGCTAGGCTTCCTACCTGTCCCATGCACACTAGAGAAGTGACAGGTATTTACTAAGACTGCCACACAGCGCCAAGACTGAGAAGATTACCTTGCTAGGTACAAAGATCTGAGTTACAAATCCAACTACATGCTCCCAAGGAAAAAAACTTTACAAAGGGACTACAGTCAGAATACGATATACAATCAGTATATATCACACTGTCTCGTACATAAGCACACAAGTATCTGTGGAATGAACACATGAAGAGCAGGAGTTTAAACTCCTACTTGCTCTTCATGGAGCTATAAATCATTTTTTAATTACTTTGCAATCAAATAATAGGAGAAGCAAAACTAAAGGCCAGAGAGACAAAAGTCAACAAAAAGCAACCCCACTAACTCTATTAATCAGCAAAAATAAGCACTGAAAAGTCATGAGGAATAGCTGAGTAGCTGAATTCTATGGGTGGTAGAGTGGTGGTACAGTGATAAAGACTAGAAAGTGCCTGGTAGAAAATTAACTCCCTTTTCTCCTCAAAAGCAGAACCCCTAGGGAATATACAAGCAAGAACTGTCAGTTCTGCAAAGAGACATCTACCTTTGGGTAGGGAGACCAATGCATCTGGTTCCCAGGGAGTTCCCAGTGCTCCTATGGAAGAAGTGTCAAAATACAGAAAAAAACTCACAGAACAAATTATTGCTGTCCTCCAACTGTCCTAGCTTAAGGAACCTACACACAAAACACGCAAGAATGTGACCAGTCTAAGGAGTGCTAATAACAGTAAGAAAGGCTGGTGTCTTTCTACCCCCAGAACTTCATGCTTGTAACAGAGAGAGAGGACAAAATCACACAGAACTATATACAAGGTCATTGTTCAACCATTGTTATTGTCTCTTAATCTGGAAAAGTCCCCAAATTAGATAAACACAAAACTCTGCTGCCACAAGGGAAAAGACTGTTCTAGGTAGCAGACAGAGTTGGTTTTCAATAGAGCTTTTGAATTACCCTGACCCACCTATATGCAGGCCCTGAGCCTTCAACACCCATAGTTAGTGACAGTTCACAAGCTGTTCCACCACTTTCCGGATGTCATCCATAGATGTGTCAGCAACAACCCAGCCCCTCCACCCTGGCCTCCTGGGTACCCTTGTCTAACAAGAACTGAGGCTGCCGGGACTTTGCCCAAATCCCTAAAATCTCCTGGGTGCTCAGACTCCCGTTTTTCTCATCCATGTGATGGAGTTAATAATTTCACATATATTACGTCTACAAATTCAAATAAAAATATACTTTAAAAAGCCAAAACTGCTTTGTAAGTGATAAAGTTATAGTGCATTATTCAACCAGTTGGCTTGATAGAAGACTGCATCTATGACAGAAAACATATCCAAGGACATATATAATGTGTCATGAAAATCCATTAATAAAATAAATACATAAGAAATGATTATTAAATTCAAAAGATAAATAGAGCAAAACACTATAAATTGTAGACAGGTAGAATTCTTCAATATTATAGGAGTTAGAACAAAATACTACATGAAACTTACGGAAAATCATGAGTGAATTTTTTTTAATGCCAGTTTTGTGCATGCCTTCACAGCCCTTCAAGATAAAGGTGTTCTTTAATGATTATGTGCAGAGTTCACTTTACTAATACTTCAATGAAAACACTTTTACTTGTATGTATTTCAGGCCAAAATGCCCAAATCCACACAGCCTTACATATACTCACATTTTTTTTTTTATTATTGAGTTTATTGGTACATTTAGGGATACAGTACAGTTACATTCATTGTTGGGATCATGTACCTTTACATGGCAAGTCTTGATTCTCATTTTTACATTTTTTTTTTACAGTGAATGTTATGCATTATATCATCTCACACAGGTGCACACACACACAAACACACACACGCAAGTCCACAAAGGCACACACACAATCCAGTCACAAGATAAAGTGCTACCTCTGGTTTCACGTTTGCTGTGCATCCTTCCTTCATCAAACAAGGAACTTTTTGTTACTTTCCCATTCTTGAAGACAGTATGGAGGAGATCTTGACTATCCTCCTCAAGACCTCCTTTTCCCTCCTCAAATGTAACCATATTCCTTGATGGTGTCCTATATAAAGATAATCTGCCCTTTTTGGACCTTTTACTGGGACCAACAACTGAGTCCTTGAAAATAATAATCCTGAGGCCATTGGTGACCACAAGGCTTCACTTGAAGGAACAATTAAGAGATCTCTTATTAATTTATGCAGGAAAACTCCACAAGAACAGAAGGAAACATTTTCAGTGCTCTACTTTTTTGGTTTCTTACTTTATTCAAACCGTTGTAAAGTATTAATATCTGCTCCATCCCCCTGAATAACTCAAAGGTAAGATGATAGCAACTTATAGCCTTTTGAGTTCCCAATAACAAGAAACTTCTATATAAAGTATCCCAAACCTTTAATATAGTATCAAGAGGATTTCCAGAATCAGGTCTGATTATTAGTAGTGCCTTCTGTACTTCTTTTTTTTTTAATTTAATTTATTGGTACATTCTAGGTAGATAGTACAGTTACATTCATTACTGGGATCTTGTACCTTTACATGCCAGGTATTGGTTTTCATTTTTTCCCCTTGTCCCCACCCTCCCTCCACCCCTTCTCCCTCCCCACTTCAAACGCTTTAATTACATTTTTACATTTTCTCATCGTTGGTGGGAGTGCAGACTGGTGCAACCACTATGGAAGTCAATATGGAGACACCTCAAAGAACTAGGATTAGAGGTTCCATTTGACCCAGCCATCTCTCTGTTGGGTTTCTTTCCAAAAGAATTAAAAGAATCATACCACAGTGATATATGCGCACCCATGTTTATAGCGGCACAGTTTGTGACAGCTAAAACTTGGACACAGCTCATCTGCCCATCAATTGGAAAATGGATAAAGAAGATGTGTTTTTTCTATAAAATGGAATACTACTCAGCCATAAAGAATGAGAAAGTAGATTCATTCATAGGTAAATGGGTATATTTTGAGGATATATTTCTAAGTGAAATAAACAAGTCACACATATGCAAATACCGAATAGTTCCTCTAATGTGAAAAACTAAAATAGCACTCAAGATCCTAACGGGACAATTAGCAAACAGGAAGAAAAGGACCAAAGGTGTAGGGATAGTGAGAAAGACAGGGAAAGGGGAATAAGGGAAAAGAAAAAAATACGAGAAAATATACTCATATTCTTATTCAGAGTAGAAAAGAATGGAAAAACCCACTACATCCACAACTATCCACCACCAAAGACAAAGCAAAAGGAAACAAAAAGCAAATACTACTTTTCCAAATACAAACTAGTTTGTAAGAATCTGAAGTTCAGTTTTCCAAGCTCACAAATAGCCAACATAATATCCCTTTCAAACAAATGCAGAAGGAGGACTGTATCAAATTACATCTAACCAAAACTCTGCTATGGACTGCTTATGTTAAAATATACTTTATATAAGTGGAAGGAGACTAACTTTAAAAATTCAATTTTGCAACACAGAATTTATCCAATATAATTTGTAGGTGTGAGTGAAAATAGTGATACCAGAGCTATACTAAGTATTTTTGTCTCTTGGAGGTTTATCATAATTCTTGTAGCAAGAAATCCTGAACAATGTTGACAAAATAAAATTTTTGGAAATTAAAGTTATATTTTCAGTTGATTTAAGACATGTTTTTACCTCTCATTCTGTCCTTCATAATCTTATTTTAAATACGTACATCTGCCCTAAATTTCTTCTTTAACAAACCTAATATTTTCCTGCCACAAAACCACGTTAGGATGTAGGATAATCTTTCTTTTTAAAGATTATGTAACTTCTTTCTAAAAAAATGTCAGTGCCACTAAACCACAGAAATGGAACTAAGGCTTTCATCTGTTAACAAAGATGGAAATTATTTCTCACGTTGAGGGAAACTGGGTCTCAAGGAGGGACTTTCTGACTAAATTAAGCACAATTATCAAATAGCAAACATTTCATGCTAAACCAAAGTGAACCGGCGAGTCATAACACACACAGAACAGGAGGATCTACAGTAAAGGCAAGAGAGGACTAAACTAATTTTTAAAGGTGTTTTTTAAACACCTTTCTCACTCCCTGTATTAATAGTTTCCAGATCGTAATGATGTGTGATTTTCCAGATACTGGAGCCCATGAAAGGGTATTTGCAACGATCAAGTTCCATCTAAAAGAGTTCTATGAGGGGGAGGGATACCCAGGAATTTAGCTCAGTGGTTCCGCCACCTGCCTTCCAAGCGCAAGGACCCAAGTTCGATCCCGCTACCATAAAAAGGAAGAAAATACGCAGAGTGATCTCAATTCCTGTTCTGAAAAGGCTTCAGTAATTCCTAATTTGAGAAACTCAACGCCACCTCCCATCGCGCACCCCACCTGCCCCACTTTTTGGCTCTCCATTTCCATTCCGTAGCTCAGTAAGTACACTTATTTCAAGACACAAGGGGAGAAACCTGTTGGGATGGATTTTCCAGGGGATAAATACTACAATGAACCCGTAGTAAGTGGCCCAGAAGAAGTTGTGGGCCCACTGATACACAGACGACCAAGGGAAGATACACCCGCCCGCGTTCCGGGCGGTGAAGACGCACCTGGCGATCGCAGGCAAGAAGGGATCTTAATTCCTGGAGACAGCTACTCCGCCGGAGGGAGAGGAATACAACTGCTCGGCTCCTCTCCGGGCGGCTGGGAGTGCGGGCTCCGCGCTCACAAGCTGCGGAAATACAAATGAAGCGCGGCCGCTCAGGAGCGCAGCATCTCCGGCAGGGCGCCAGGCGTGGGCACCGCGACACCCGCCG